ATTATTATTATTATTATATTTGAGACAATGATCCACCAGTCGTTTAATGAAAAAAAATAATATAACAGGAGGGGAGAAGTATAGAGTTGGGTTTATATATGGAGGAGACTGGTATGCAACATATTCAGACGTGGTTTGTCAGAGATAATACGAGCAGCTTCACTTCAATCGAACTCTTGAAATTATAAGTAAATCTATTAGATTTTGACTTTTAATGAATTTGAGTAATCGCAAAATATTCTGAACACGAAAACCACCTCCCATCCCCCCCCGCACCCGATTGATTGAAATAGCGCCCATAAATATCACGTGACGACATTTCCTGTGTGTTGAGAATCGTTCATCTCCACCACACGACCAGTGATACGTATACGTAAGTATTCGAAATTATTTCAAATCAAATAAAAAAAAATAATTTTTTTATCGATAATAATATTATACGGTTGATTGATTTTACCATACAACAGTCGAAAAAATTGTCGGAAAATCTGCTAAAAAAAACGTTTTTTTTGTTTTCTACAAGACAAAATCATCTTCACGGTATTCCGAGGAAAGAGCATTATTTGGTTCACCGAAAAAAGGAGAGGATACCGACCATAAACCAATATGCGATTGACACAGACTACAGCAGTTTTGTGAGTTTTTACATTTTATATTATTTTTTTAAGGCATTCTCGTGTCTCTCATTGCCCGTGTTCCAAATCTGAGCGTTGATATGTAGAACGGACGGTAAAAAAAAAAATAATAAATACGTGTGCACGGTGATTCTTTTATCAAACAACACTCATTACAAAAGTAGACTTTTTTTTCAAAATATTTTTACAGTTGTTAAAAAAACCAATCGTTTTTATTAAAAAAAAAAAGAATTATATTTTTTACTCTTTCGAATGACAACAGAGTTTTAATTTCATCTTCCAAAGTACTACATTCGATTTTTATGACTCAAAACAATTAGAAAAATACTAAAAAAAAACTTTTAAAAAAAAATGATAATGATAAAAAAATATTTAAAAACCGTTGGGTTTTCAACAACTCGGAACAACCGTGTAAAAAAATATCCCGAATCATCCTGTATATATTGATTTTTATATTATTATAACTTAATTTTATAGATTAATGGTAATTACAGCGGCCAGAGTAGAAGAACAATCAACAGGAGAAACGACGAGTGGTGTCACTATCAACTATAGATATGATAATTATGTGATCACCGGAATCGTATCCTTTAACGATGAATTCATTTTACCTGAAACAAAATACTCTAACGTAGATCTAATGCGTATCAGATGCACTTTCAAACGAAACCAAAAAATATATTTGCATAAATTAGCAGACGATTCGGTAAATCTTTTATTACACGATGTCTGCAAAATATATATAAAGAGTATAGCTGATATAAACTATAGTCTTATACAATTTCCGAGACCCCATAATTTTCTAAAATTAAATTTGATACAGAATAACGACGAATCGATCAGTGCTCAAAACGATGAAACGACATTTAGTACCGAAAATCAAACACTCGATAAAACCAATAATATAAATAACGATACCGCAACAGAAATAGATCCTATGAGTAAAACAACTAACGAAAGGATTAACGAAACTACGATAAAAGAGGAAAGTACACTATACGTACCGAGTTTGGCGAATCATGTACCAAAAAAAACGGATAAATCTGGATATAACACAGATAGAATCGATAGATTTCACGAAGCGAACAACCGAGGAACGACAAGCACTCGTCCGGATTACGACGAAAATTTTACTGACAACGACGTGATCACTAAATTCGAAACCGATCAATGGGAAGATATACCGGATATCACTAAAGTACGATGTAATGAAAATTATGATTACTCTGATTATATAACATATTTAACGGTATTTGTAATATTTGTATTATTTTGTATCACCATTAACTACACATGTGTGAATAGAAATAGATATAGGCATATGGTAATGAATAATGATGTTAAACCGAAATTCTGTTATATTGGAAACAAGTTTATAATATTGTATATTATATAAACCGTTGTAACCAAATGCTATTATTTAATGTAAACAGAAATACTTGTAAAAAATATATAATTAAAAATTTTCAATCGTAAACACTGTTGTTATTGTAGCTTTTGGCCGTTGTAATCGTGATATCGTTTACTTTTGAGTCGTGTATGTATTCTGGGTAGGAATTGTTTTAGAAACTAAGATACTAGTATAGGTCATACCGGTAACCGTCGAGGAAATCGACGGAGACACGGATACGACGATTGTACGTCACGAACTATGATCGGAGTACGGGCAACGTGTGTATTTCTTTTTGACCGTTATTATTATAATTATTTGGTTATTTTAATGTTTTTTTTTACAGGATAAAAATCGGTTCTTTTGATTGGAAGACGGATATTTGTACAAATAGCGTCCTGGGAATTTTGGTAAATTTTGGTACCATTTTGGTAAATTAGGATAAAAACGGTTTAATGGCTAACGGGACGTGCTCCGAACACGTTTAGGACCGGTCGCATGGGCGTGGGAAGCTACGATATTAAAATAATACACGCGTACGCTTTTGCACGACTCGGCCAYGGACACACACGTATCTTATCGATATGAGAGGAAACGCAGAGAGTAGGACTATCTGGACTATATAGGAGAGCCCCGAYTAGACMCAATTCAGRCGTGAGCCACCAGAGTCAGAACAAGCACCTTCACGCCAGACACCAGTCCAGTTTAATTATTCGGACTTAGAATATTTTGCAACCAAATCATTTTGTGCAGTAAAAGTGTTTTATTTACATAWTAATCAAATAAATATCTAATAAATTAATCACAAATTAAGTTGCTATACTTATTACACCCAAATCCATCTACCTCAACACCAGTCGTTTGTCCTCCTGTATACTAACATGTACTAATAAGTATATTATTACGTAGGTTAACACTAGTGACAATGAGTCAAGGACAACTTCCGTATACCATCGAAGAATTTAAAAATCAAACAACGATGTTTTGCGAAAATCGAGCGGTAGTTAGAATCGAAGGGGCTATGTGGGAGTTCGTAACATATGTACCATTAGAAAATTACGATGCTAGGCATGATAAACTATATAATGAAATTATGTCAATGACCRGCCATTGCAAGGATAAGTTGATGGAATATGAAATCTGTTCACGGTTTGATAATATATTGAAAACGATGTTCCAAGAAATCTCTATACAACGAGAGCAAATGTATGAATCTATAGGCAGATATGTGTCCGATAGCAAGGGGGGAGTCGACTACGAAAGGTCATAGGACTAAGCGAGGTTTRGTAAACTTTATAGGATCGGCTATGAAAACGTTATTCGGAGTATGCGATGACGACTGTACGAAGGAAACAACCGAACACGTAGGTCAGATAGAACATAGTAATGAGGATATGATCCATATACTTAAAAATCAAACGACAGTAGTAAAATCAGCCATAATAGGTGTAAGTACGGCTGCCGTCGAAATAAATAAATTATACGGGGAGTTGGAAGAAAAACAAGGGATGTTATATAAAAAGATTAGCGAATTAGCAAACACACATACACACACACTAGAAACTCTGATTCTCACGAATAGGATACATAGTGTTTTCATGGCGTTACTAACACAATACGCATACGAAACCACCACGATCAGTRCGATTATAAACGCAGCKAGAACGGGGGTACTTCATCCGTCGCTTATAACRCCACGGGAACTTGCAAAACATCTAACTGAAATTAAGTTAGTTTTACCACTCAATTTTAATTTACCAATGGGTACAAAACCGAGCGAGATATATGAACTAAGCAAAATTACTAAAATGGCAGTTTTTTATAGCGGTAATCAAATAGYTTTTYTAATTAGAATACCTTTGATCACGGAAATAGAATTAACATTATACAGGATTTTACCTATACCACGCCCGATAGAAACACAATTAAACGGAAATTTAGATTATAAGCACAGTGTCATTCTAAAACCAGAATTCCAATACATCGGTATTACTGGAAATCGTAGGCAATACACCACGTTTACGGAAACGCAATTACTTCAATGTAGGGAAACCGAAGTTTTTACAATTTGTCCAGAATTTCAACTTATCCAACATGAGTCGGAAAACCAACCATGTGAAATAACGTTATTTAAAAATCCGGACACTCTACCAAGCTCATGCGAGGCAGGTATTATCATATTATCTAAAAACATATTTCATAAATTAAAATAYGCAAATGCATGGATYTATACAASTAGTGGGGAAACCTTAACAATAACATGCCAAGGAAATAGAGAGCCATATAYAGTAAAGCTAMAACATCARGGGYTAATCAAACTAAATCAAGACTGTAGKGCATATGCCGAAGATATCATATTGAATCCAACAAGAGACATTAAATCTAAATACTACGTTAACTTTATACCACGAGTAGGGGAAGGGAAGTTGGTAGCAACGCTTCCTAGGCAAATTAAAAACTTGAATCTACCTAATATAARGACCAGRCATGATTCACATAAATTAGATAACGTAAACGATTTAACACATTCTTTAGACGACGTACAAAGTATGATYGATKACGAAATATTTAGGCAATCGGGACATGTGACCGATAATGAAAATAATTATTACTTGATATATATAATAATAGGATTGATGAACTTTGCGACAATACTATTGTTATTTATATGTATATAACGTATAAGTGTAGATTAAACACTTGGGAACCGATTAAACCACGATATAATATAACTCCACACCCTATACCAACAAGTCGAAATACATTTTATGTTGATACACCGATAATTGCGGAAGAAAGACCTAAAAGTCCACTACTTGGGGGATACACCGGACAGATTGTGCTTATCTCCACCAAGAATAAAAGATTAAATTACTGTAAGGGAAATGTAAAAATAATTAACATTAAAAAGTAATAAAATTAAAAAAAATAAAAAATAAAAATAATAATAATTAAGTATAATTCGTAAATAAGATATAAGTATAATATAATAAAGTATAGTATAAAAGAGGGGGTAAAAATAGATTTAAAACTATACATATTAAAAATAATGACCTATTAACTTAATCAACAGAAAAGAAACACACAAGTTGTCATCATGGATTTTGAATTTTCGATGATAAATARGACTGATATGGTTCTGATATCCGGGGCCATATCCAATAGTTTGGACAGATACAAAATAAGGAAATTGGAAGGAAGACCGTTAATACTACCAACCAACACGGAGGTCAGACCTTTTTTTTTCTTGTTAAATCGCTACATGGAGGCCGAACTGTTTTCACATTGCTGAGCCCCCATGTAACATCGTTTATTTATAAAATCAATATAAATATTTACACAAAYGATWAGTCATAACAGTCTGGGATACCCATTCCACAGCAATCTGGTATATATGCGAATATCCCTATCCTGTTATGGCTTTACAAATCAATACATCATAAGTAGGGACAAGCAGGGTTAACCCGCTATATCCCCTAACATCAGTTTTATATACAAATACATTTATCCCCTTTCAATTATCTTCTCGGGCCGACAGTCCGCCACCCTAGACATCGCGTTCTGCCCGTCTTCTCGGACCGGACTGAGCCAGCCATCCTGGACATCTCGTTCTGCGATCCTCTTCACAAGCCGGCCTAA